TTACCCTATATATTTCCTCTAAGATATTTTCATAGGCCAATCTGATCTTTCCCTTATAAAGTTCTATAACATCAATCATCTCTAACACTCACTGTTTTAATTATATGCTGACTTGCACTATTATGTAATTGGCTCTTAGGTAAATATGTCTTATCTTTCCTATAAGATTATGCTCCTAGGGGCGCCTGGGTGGCTCAGCTGGTTGAGCATCTGCCTTTGGCTCAAGTCATGATCCTGGGGTTCTGGGATCGAGCCCCACATTGGGCTCCATGATAAGCAGGGAGCCTACTTCTCCCTCTCCCCCTGCTGCTCATTCTGCTTCTGCTCTCTCTCTGTCAAATAAATGGGTGACATCTTAAAAAAAAAAAAAAAAAGATCATGCTCCTACAATGCAGAAATTATACCTCACCTCACCTTTCTTTCTTCTATATAACTATACACAGAATGCCACATGCAAAGGTGTATTATAATTGTTCTTCCTTATTGAAAAGGATGAGGCTAATAATGTCAAATGTCAAATAATGCTGAGAGTTAGTTCATAGAGGGTGGTGTTGACAAAACATATTCTAAAAGACTCTCAGATCCCCTCCCTCCTTATGAATATCTTAAGATAGGACCCATAAATTACTGCAGAAACTTCCCAACTGGGATTACTTACAATCTTCTCTCCTATGCTGTTGCCAAAGTGATCTTTCTAAAACAAATCCGATTTTATTACCTCAAGGCCTCAAGTCCTTTAAGAGTTTCTTATTGCTGTCAGGAAGAAAATCCAAACTCCTCAGCATGTTTCATTTGCTCAAGCATATATACTATGCTCTAGCTAACCTCTGGTACCTAACTGCCTGTTTGTCCTCCTTGCTTCCACATATGCTGTTTCCTTGTCTTTAATTTCAACTGCCTCCTCTGCATCCTATTCAAAGTAGAAATCCTGCTTGTGGAGTTTTCTATGACTTTCAATAATAAATTAAATGGTTTTCTTCTCTGGGATCTCAAAGCATTTTGTATATGATTTTATTATACCCATTAAAGTGTATTACAACTGTCTACTCTTCTGTCTTCCATTTTGTGTCCCCAACACTTAGAAGAGCACTTCTCATATAGGAGTGTTGAATGGAAAGAAAAAGGCCAAAAAATGAAAGGATCTTTGAATGTCGTTAAAAAACAGGTCATTGGTGATGTTAGAAAGTACAGTTTAGGTGGATAAGAAGAAAAAAAAAAGACTAGATATATACGAAATGAAGGATGGAATAGGTAGAAAGAAAATATTCAACATATTCATTTCAAAAATCTGCAAGAAAAGAAAAAAGAAATGGATGAAAGAAAAAATATCACAAAGAAAGACTGCTTTTTTAAAAACACAGATAGCTGACCAAGTTAGAAGGCAAAAGAAAGCAATTTGAGAGAAAAAACCAGAAGATTTAAAAAGAGCAAGTACAGAAATCATATCCTATACTCAGAGGACAGAGATGACAGAGAGAAAGGCTAGAATGAGACTGGAAGAATATAAGACATTGTTGAAACAGATGTTTCAAAGTAAGCATAGAATACTTTCCATTTCAGGCATTAGAATTTTCATTCTTTTAGTTTCCCAAACTAGAAATCTTAAAAACAAAAACGCCCCAAACCAACCAAATGAAAAAACTTTGGCACGTTCCTTCTATCCAGCTATTATTAATCTATAACCAACTATCATTTCTTCTTTGTACATATCTTTCAAATCAGCTCTTTCTCTCTCCCCCTGACGCTACTCTCCTGCCTGATAAGCATTCATCAACTCTCAACTGAATTATTGCAAAGCTCCTAAGAAGTTTCTAATTCTAGTGTCTCCATCATCAAATTTAACAAGAAAACACATCCAGCCTTCTCATTCTCTGTGAAGCTCTCTCTGACCCTGTCTTGGACCAGATTCACTCCCTCCTCCATGCTACTACTGCTCCTACAAAACAGGGGTTGGCAAACTCTGGCTCACTGGCCAACTCTGGCCCCTTCATATTTTTATAAAGTTTAACTGATAGGTAAATAAATAAAGTTTAATTGGAAAAGCCATTCCCATTCTGACTTTACATATTTATGGCTGTTTTCAGGCTACAATGGCAGAGAAGAATGGTTACAACAGAGACCATATGATCCACAAAACCTAAAATAGACTCTACAATGATACTTTTATTTTACTTTACTTGTTCACTTATAATAATAATAGAAGTTGATATCAGGTACTTACTGAGATAAGCACTGAAGTAATTACACATATTTTACACATATTATCTCATTTATTCTTTACAACATTCCTTTTTTTTTTTTTAAGATTTTATTTATTTATTTGAGAGAGAGTGCAAGAGTATGACCATGAGCAGGGGTAAGGGCAGAGGGAGAGGGAGAGAGAGAAGCAGACTCCCTGCTGAGCAGTAAGCCCAACATGGGGCTCCATCCCAGGACCCTGAGATCATGATTCGAGCTGAAAGCAGACGCTTAACCGACTGAGCCACCCAGGAGCCCCTTTACAACATTCCTAAAGGAGCAGATATTCCCATTTCCATTTTACAGATGAAGAAACTGAGGATTTTCATTCCAGACCCTATGTTTTTAACTACAACACTAATACGGACTATATTCTCTTTCTCGAGTTTGTTAAGAACACAGATCATGCCTAAATCATCTTATTCCCAGAGCCTAGCACAGTGCTTGACATAGTATGTATTCTATAATTGTTTGCTAAATTAATCTTACTAACATATCCACTTTCATGCTGGCCTTCTCCCTGCTCAATACCCTTCGATATCTCTATATTTGCTTATTGCGTCAGGTCTAAACCTCTAAACTCCTCTGACTGGCTTTAAGTCTGACCATAATCCAGGGCAACTATACCTAGCAAAGTTCAAAAAGCTTAATTGTGTCCAACTTCTTCTAGGAGTTTTATGGTTTTGGGTCTCACATTTAGGTCTTTAATCCATTTTGAATTTATTTTTGTGTATGGTGCAAGAAAGTGGTCTGGTTTCATTCTTTTGCATGTTATTGTCCAGTTTTCTCAACACCATTTGTTGAAGAGACCGTCTTCTACCCACTGTATATTCTTGCCTCCTTTGTCGTTGATTAATTGACCATATTGTGTGTGGGTTTATTTTTGGACTCTCTATTCTGTTCCATTGATTTATGTGTCTATTTTTGTGCTAATACCATCTTGTTTTGATTAGTACAGCTTTGTAGTGTATCTTGAAACCTGGGCTTGTGATACCTCCAACTTTGTTCTTCTTTCTCAAGATTGCTTTGGCTATTCAGGGTCTTTTGTAGTTCCATATAAATTTTAGGATTATTTGTTCTAGTTCTGTGAAAACTGCTGTTGGTATTTTGACAGAGATTGCATTAGATCTGTAGATTGTTTTGGGTAGTATGGACATTTTAGCAATACTGGTTCTTCCAATCCTTAAGCATAGACTATCTTTCCATTTGTTGTTCATCTTCAATTTATCTCATCAATGTTCTATAGTTTTTGGAGTATAGGTCTTTTGCCTCTTTGGTTAAGTTTATTCTTAGGTATTTATTATTTTTGGTGCAGATGTAAATGAGATTGTTTCCTAAATTTATGCAATAGATTTCTGTATATTAATTTTGTATCCTGTGGCTTTACTGAATTTATTTATCAGCTCTAATAGTTTTCTGGTGGAGTCTTTAGGGTTTTCTATATATAGTATCATGTCATCTGCAAATAGTGAAAGTTTTACTTCTTCAGTACCAATTTGAATGCCTTTGAACATAGACAGTAATCTCTCTGACATCAGCCATAGAAACATTTTTTTAGATATGTCTCCTCAGGCAAGGGAAACAAAAGCAAAATTAAACTACTGAGATTACACTAAAATAAAAGGCTTTTGCACAGTGAAGGAAATTGTCAACAAACAAGGCAACCTACTGAATGGGAGAAGATATTTGCTAATGATATATTCAATAAGGGGTTAATATCCAAAATATAGAAAGAACTTATACAGTTTAACACTAGAAAAACAAATAATCCAATTAAAAGATGAGCAGAGCAACTGATTAGACATTTTTCCAAAGAAGATATACAGATGGCCAACAGACACATGAATAGATGCTCACTCAATATCACTAATCATCAGGGAAATACAAATCAACACCACAATGAGATATCACTATATACGTGTCAGAATGGTTAAAATAAAACAGACAAGAAATAAGACATGTTGGTGAAGATGTGGAGAAAAAGGAACCCTAGTGCATTACTGGTAGGAATGCAAACAGGTGTAGCCTCTATGGAAAACAGTATGGAGGTTCCTCAAAAAATTAAAAACAGAATTACCATACGGTCCAGTAATTCCACTACTGGGTATTTACTCACAGAAAACAAAAATACTAGTTTGAAAAGATATATGCACGCCTATGTTTACTGCAGCATTACTTACAATAGTTAAGATACGGAAGCAACCCAAGTGTCCATCCATACATGAATGGATAAAGAAGATGGGGGTATATATAAAAATAGAAAATTACTCAGCCATAAAAAGAATGAGATTTTGCCATTGGTGACAATATGGATAAACCTAGAAGGTAAAATGCTAACTGAAATAAATCAGACAGAAAAAGACAAATACCATATGATTTCATTCACATGTAGAATTTAAGCAGCAAAATAAATGAACAAACAAAGAAAAAAGAGAGACAAACAAACAGACAAGAGACTCCTAAATACAGAGAACAAACTGGTGGTTGTCAGAGCGGAGGTGGGTGAGGGAATGGGTGAAACAGATAAAGGAGATTAGTATACTTTTTATGATGAGCACTGAGTAATGTATAGAATTGTTGAATAATTATATTGAATATCTGAAAGTAATATAACACTGTATGTTAATTATACTTCAATTAAAAACATTTTTTTAAATACAAATAATGTCCAACTTCTATTTCAGAATTGGCTACTCTTCCTTCTTAAGCTGTGTGACTCTAATTCAACACATGAAATAAGCTAAGCTACCAGTGAAACTCACCTGCCATCACGGGATCTGTGGAGACTGCCGTGGTAGCTGCTTACTTTGCTGTGGACACTCCCTGCTTTGCTTCTCTGATCATCCACCATAGCAAGCTGAGTTGAAGAAGCATGTGTGGATGTTCCTTGAGTGGAAGTTCCCCTTGATTTTCTTATAATAGGAGTATTTGGATCCCTCAGAAGAGACTGAGCAAAATCAGGTTCCTGTAGTACCTGTCGGCTCTCATTCACTATCCTAGAAAACAAATACTAAGTTTAAGATACAGACTAACATCCCTATAGACCAATAAATGTGACACACTGACATTATTCTTGAAATTAATTGCTCTCCAAATAATGTCTTTAGGAGAGATATAAGGTAACACTGTTGACAGAGGAAAGAATTTAACAAAGATCGTGTCAAACTGTACTCTAAAGTGGTATGACGGGAAGAAGCCTGTATTAGAATAAGGAAGTCTGGATTTTAGTTGAATAGATACATGATCTTAAGCAAGTCATTATCCCCTTTCCTTCATTTTCCTCATCTATAAGATGAGGCTATACAATTTCATCATTTCTAAAAAGTCCCTTTCAATTAAAGAAATTTATGATTCTCAAGTACACTGAAATATTACAAAGATATTACAGTTGAGAAATTTTTTCTTGCATGGTTTATGGATGTATTGGAGGCCTCACTGTAGCACAGATATATATATATATATGTGTATATATATATATATTTTAAAGATTTATTTATTTTAGAGATAGCGCACGTGCACACACACACATTCAGAGGGAGGGGCAGAGACAGAGAGAGAGAATCTCAAGCAGACTCCCAGTGAGTGTGGAGCCCAATGCGGGGCTCCATCCCATGACCCTGAGATCATGACCGAAGTTGAAATCAAGAGTCGGACACCCAACTGACTGAGCTACCCAGGTGCCCCAACAGATATATTTTTCAACTTGTAAGAACAGTTGTTTAAAGGCTACAATTTGGTTTAATGGTGAAACAGTTGTTCAGTGCTAGAATAAACATGAGTGGTCATAATTAGAACAAAATGTATTAAAAATTAATTTAAGCTAACATAAAATTAATTACCAGACATCTTAAAGGCTTAAGGAAAAAAACTTAAGGAGATGAATTATCGTCAAGAACAAAAGTTTTTAACTGCTATGAAAAGGTTAAAAGCAGATAGATGTTTATGATAATGAACAAAGCAGTAATTAAATTGATAAAGAGCCAGTTAAATAGTTACAAAGATCAGAGTCTCAGTTTATATAAATGACTATGAGAATCAGAGGTTAAAGTTAAAATCAGATAAATAATTTCATGAAAAAATAAAGCTCCAACATATATAGATTGGATTATACACTGAGAAAGTACATATATTCTAAATTTTCAGATTACAAAAGGATTGTTGTTACTGCTACTATTTTTAGTGGTGAGGTAGAAGGGCTAAAGGAAGGCTAATACTTGTTGAGTACCCGCATTGTGCCAGGTATTTTACATAAACTCTCCTTTGATCCTTCTTAATAATGTTTTTATTATGGAGATCAATGTCCTAAGAGGGTATCTCTAAGAGGATATTATGTATCTATTGTGAATAGATATCTATTAAGAATAAATACTGTGATCTCTGTTTCATAGATGATAAAACTGAGGTTCTAAAGGATTAAAGAACTTTCCAAAGTCACACAACAAAACCAAGAGTCAGGGATCAAACTTAAGTTTAAATGGCTTAGAAGCACCAGGGTGGCTCGGTCGGTTAAGTGTTCGACTCTTGATTTTGACTCGTGATCTCAGAGCTGTGAAATCCAGCCCCACATTGGGCTCTACCTACACTGGATGTGGAGCCTGCTTGAGATTCTCTCTCTTCCTCTCCCTCTGCCCCTCCCCCCCACTCTTGCGCTCACTCTTAAAAAATGGCTTAAAAGCCAAATGTAATGACAAAATATAATGTTTATAATATTATATATATGTATATATAACATATGTGTATGTATATGTGTGTGTGTACATATATATCTCCTCAAAGTGTCAAAAACTGGATAGAAGAATGAACAAGTCAAAACAGTTAAAAAAAAAAAAAAAAAAAACCCAAACAGTGTATGTTTCTCTGTCATCAATGGCCCTAATCATAGATTCATACATCCCAAGTCAGCCTTGATTGCTGACTTTATTTTCTGAACTTATTTTTAAAACTTGGTTCAAACTGACTTCTGGTCATGCCAAAAATTTAATCCACCTTCAAATGGTAAAGGTTTGTCCCCTCACTTTACAGATAAGAAAACAGAGAAATTAAGTGATATGATTTAGATAATTCCAAAAGAAGATTTCTAAAAATATTTCAATTCAACTAGTATAAGCACAATCTTAAATGTGGCTTCACTTAGGGGGAAAACACGAATTTGATTAGCACGATTTTAGAAACTAGTCTCTTTGTAGCACAGTACATAATAAGCAAAGACGAGAGTCTAGAGTCAGACTGCCTGGGTCTGAATCTCAATTCTAGCAATCACTATGAAACCCTGATTCCATGCCTCAGTTTCCTTATCTGTAAAATGATGATCTCTCTTACAAGGCTGTTTGAAGGATTAAATGGTTTAATATATATAAAATGCTCAGAACAATGCTTGGAGTATAAAATGTGCTCAATTAATTGGTAACCGTTACTACAATTATTTTATAGTTATTTTTCAAAGGCTAGAGCAGACAAATGCTAGAAATAGCTATGGGATGCTCACACTCTTGAGCTCTAGAATAAGGAGCTCCCACTCCAGCCCAGGGCACAGTCCTGGCTTGTCGGATCACAATGATTTTGTTAGGTAGGGATGCATGATCACAGAAAACCAAATAGAAGGGTCTTGGGAGTTCTAACCAGTTTCAAAAGGATTCTGGCCCAATTAGGATCCTCCAAATAACTAGGATGATGCCCTATAAGAGTAGCTTGGGTTTAGTTCTATCTAGAATTTCTAATATAACACTATTATAGAATTGTTTGTGTATGGTCCAGAGATGACCAGCAATGTTTAATACAAGCCCTTTCCTCAGTATTATCTTTTACTGTGATTAAAATATATGTAAAATTTTCAAAGAATACACAGATAAATCACAGTAAATCCCACAAGGACGGATATTCCATGAAAGCAGGGACTTGGCCCATTTGTTTGCTAGTGCATCCCTGGTATCACAACGTTAGTTCATGGCACATAGTAAGTATTCTATAAAGACTTTCTTAAAAAATGAATGCCCAGGAAATACATTGTTGTTGTTGCTGAACAACTCTTATCCCCTTCTTTTCTTCTGTGCTCAATGAAACCTTTACTTAAAGGAGAAATGCATCATCTGATATCCCTAGTAGCAGACTTAGATACAGTAGTAAGAAATATATATTTTAAAATTGGGATTATTTTGTCTCAGTCTAATCTGTGTAACAGAAATGGTTAATTACTGGTAATTTAGAAAATACAGGTTTTGTTAATGAGGCATTTTAAGTTGTATGGGAAAAGTACATTAACCTATATAAGGCACAAGATTTTAAATACAACCTTAAGAGTTTTATAGGCTATCTTCCAAAACCCATTTTCCATGGACCTTAGTTTAAGTAAAATCATAAGCATATAGACGCCACTAACTTAGAATTTGAGGGAATTCAGGTATAGTGTCTACATAAGATTTAAACTGAGTAAAAATTTTGAAATCATTTGTTCCTTTATGAATACTGCAGGGTCTTGTTTTTGTTCGCTTTATGATTAAAGATTCCATAAATATGCCCTCAAGAGATTGCTTTGGCAAGTCTTGTATTTTACCATGACACTCTAATATGCAGTGTGGCCAACTATGAATTACAATAATTTCTTTAATGCATTTCATTATCATTTTATAATGCATTTAATATCATTTTTCTATTTTGGCTTTAATGTGTACTTTATCATAATGGAATAACATGTTATCTCTTTATATAATTTCTGGTATACTTGGAAGAACAATGGGCAATTGGAAAGGGAAGTCTAACCTAATACTTGTGTGATTTTGGCCAAAGCATTTAATCTCTCTGTGCTCAGTTTTCTCATCTGTTAACACAGAAATAATATATAACAGCCTTCACAGGAATATCAAGAAGATCAAGTAATAATATAAGCATTCATTTGTTTTTAATTTTAAGAAAATTATAATTTAAACTTTTAAAAATAAGATCAGCTTTCCCTCAAATATTCTCAACTAGTAAGGTACAGACCTTAAGCCTGGTTCTACTTGGCTATCTTCTCAGAATCAACTTTTAGCTTTTAATTAATACATGCTACTGTGCTAATCACAACTGGTAGCAGCCGAGGTTACAATCACGTTGAAACACATCCTCCAAATCCAAAGTGTTTTCACATAAGCAATACAAAAATTTTATGTGAATGTGAGGTTTATGAACATTGTGATAATTTCAACTTACTCTTTTTTCCTATGACCATGAAAAAAACTGGCCCATTCAAAGCATGTCTTTTTGCTTCCAACCCAAAAAATGGAGGGAATACCAACTATGAGAGCCATCAGGTATTTCATCAGAAAGAGAATCAGGTCTGGACGACTCATTTGAGTAACCTACAAGAAGGGAAAGAAAAATATCTTAAATATATAAAAAGAACTTTCTATCAAAGGCCATTATAAATCTTTTAAATAAACAATAGTAAAGTAATTCTACAAACTTGGTATTTTCATTTATACAGTTCTATAGTTAATTTTCTTGTTATATGGAAAAGATACACACTCCTGAAAATTTGACACTAAGTTTCTATGTTTTGAGTCCTGTATTTTTCTTATTAGCTCACAATGGTATCTTCTAAAGAAAAAGATTATTAATGTAGAAAATAAGCCATGAATAAGAATAGAGGCTCAAATAATATCTATATTCTTCTTGGCCAATTCTGTTAGTCCTATCATTGGTCATTACAATATAAAAGTAGGAAAGTATTACTCTTTCCCCCCATTTTATTAATTTCTGTTCTCATCTTTTATAGCCCTTCCTTCTATCTACTTCGTTTTACTCTGCTATTTTCAAGCTTCCTCTTTAACCTATGAGTTATTTATAAGTACATTTTCTAGTTTCTAGACAGAGGAGTTTTTAAAAATTGCTTTTTATTGTCAGTTTCAAGTTTAATTATTGTGGTCAAAGAATGTGGTCTATATTATTCTGGTTACCTTAAATTTTGGAGACTTCCTTTTGATTTAAGACTCTGTCTATATAAGTATTCCTTGTGTACTTTAAAATAGCACATACTCTCTGTTGGGTACAAAATCTTCTATATGTATTAGATCAACTTTATTGGTTCTGTCATTCAAATTTTCTATATTCTCAATTAATTTTCTGTTTACCTGGGTTTTTTTTAAAGATTTTATTTATTTACTTGAGAGAGGACAGAGAATGAGCAGAACGAGGAGGGGCAGAGGGAGAAGGAGAAGGAAAAGCACTTCTCACTAAGCAGATAGCCCAGTGCAGGGCTCAATCCCAGGACCCTAGGATCATGACCTGAGCCGAGGGTAGACACTTAACAGACTGAGACACCCAGGTGCCCCTACCTATCTGCCTTAACAGAGGTATGCCAAAATCTCTCACATAACTGGGGACTCATCAGTTTTCCTTCTAATCCTGTCAGTTTTCACTTTCAAGCCTATGTTAGGTATTATGTTAATTCAATAATGCTCTAGATGCTCATTTTGCTTGTTAATACTCTTCATCTTAAACTGTATTTTATCTGACATTACTATTGCCACATCAGCTTTTCGCTTCATCACAGCAACATATTTTCCAGGTGTATCTTTTCCTATTTACCAACGAATTTCTTTCAAGTCTGTCCCTTTGGGTTATACTGCCTCTTTTAAGCAGTATACAGTTTACTACCACTAAAATGTACACTCCATGAAGAGATTATTTTCCCCACTGTTTTATCCCCAGAGTCTAGACTAGTGCTTGCACATAGTAGGTACTCAATAAATACATACATTTAAAAATATACTTGGTTTTATTAGAAAAAAATTACAGTTAAAGTGATCAGCACCTCCATCTTTTTTTTTTTTTTTTTAAGATTTATTTGTGAGAGAGAGAATGAGAGACAGAGAGCATGAGAGGGAGGAGGGTCAGAGGGAGACCAGCAGACTCCCTGCCGAGCAGGGAGCCCGATGCGGGACTCGATCCTGGGACTCCAGGATCATGACCTGAGCCGAAGGCAGTCGCTCAACCAACTGAGCCACCTGGGCGCCCCTCCCTCCATCTTTTTTAATAAGAAAATACTCCTAGCACACTATATAGCTACCTATATTCCTTATTATTTTCCAGAAATTCAAAATAACCTTTGCAAAAATAATTATTTTTATCTTTAGTTTTGTCAAAAAGTATACCCTATGCTTACCTTTGGGTTCCCTTTTCTTCTTGCTAAAGGATGCCCTTTAAAAATTCTTACAAATAAGGTATGCCAGAGATAAATTATTTTAGTCTTTGCCTGAAAATGTCTTTATTTTGCCCTCAGTCTTGAATGATAAACATTAGTTTATTGTCTTCTAGTTCCTATTGTTTCTATTTTGAAGTCTAATTGATAATCTTTTGGAGATTTACTTCCTCTCTCCAGTAGCTTTTAAATTTTTCTTTATTCTTTTCACTTTATAGTTGCACTGAATGTTTCTCATTGTGATTGATTTTTATTTCTCCTGCTTATTATGTAGAGTGTACTTTTAATCTAAGGACCCAAGTTTTCAATTCTGGAAAATTCTCAGACATTAGGTTTTTGGTTACTGCTTCTTAGTCATTCTTATGGCTTCTTGTTCTACAACTCCCATTAGATGTATACTGAAGTTCCTCAATCCTTTTTATGTCTTTTAACTACATAATTATATAGTTTTTAGTATTGTATGTCTCTCTATATTCTGTATTCTGGGTGAACTCTTTAGAACAGTTTTCTACTTCACCAATACCCTCTTCAACCATGTCTATGTTAGGGTTCTTTCTATCTACTGATTTAATTTCCATAACTTCAATTCTAAAATGTCTAATTAGTTCTTATATTTGTCTATTCTTATTTCTGCTAATTTATCATAATTTCTTATTCTTTTAAAATGGTTTTTATTGTTTATCTTTTGGAGAATCCTAAACATACTTATTTTTAAATAAGTCTTTAAAAAATTAATTTACTACTTTCATTTCATCTGGGAGCAAATCCATCTTCTGATTGTTGATTTTGTTGGATGCTTTCTAGGTTTGGCTTTTTTCTTTTCTGAATTGTGCTTTGGAATTTCAGTTTGCAGATCTTGAGTGAGAATTTTCCCTCTCCCTTTCTCCCTTCCTCCCTCCCTCCATTTATCTCACCCTGTGTCATGACTTTTGGTCTTCACCAGTGCCCACAGGGACCTCGTCAAAAACCAGGTTTTATATTGGTGATTATGAACTCCAGATGTTATTGGTTACTGGAGATTCGGGTACTAAGTCATTGCAGTTTGGCTTAAATATTGGTCTTAAGGCTGTGCTGGTGTCCTCCCACATCTCTAGATAAGTAGTTTTATATTAACTACAGCTTTAGGGAACAGTTTATATTACCTTTTACACGAACTTCCTTTCAGGAGCACGGGAGCCTCATTTCCAATTCCTACTTTTAACCAGTGAGCCTAGTTCTGGTCCTCTGACTTTCATGTGACACTTATACTTCCTAATACACCTCAGAAACTGGATGCCCAATCACCTCTAGCTACTTCATACCTGGAGTTCAATAGGCCCATGTTTTTCATCACTAGTTATCAATTTGCATTTCTGTTATACAAATAAGTTTATTTTTTCTTTTAGACTGATTACATTTAAAATTTTTTATTGTTTTATCTATAAATGATTTTATGTTTATGTTTTATCTATAACTGCACATGATTACAGTTAGCCTGGTAAGCTCAAAACATAGAACTTGTATTACAATCATAACCTAGAATTAAGGTGTAATTCCTTTAGAATTTACCTAAAAGTAAAAAAGCAAATATTTATAGATCATCCACTACTCTAAGAATAATTCTGTTCAAAGCCCCATGAGACTTATGAACCAGATGTAAGGTTTTATTAATGTTCCCACCAAGCTGATAATCTAAATGAAAATACAAATTAAAGAAACCACTGAATAGTTAAAAACTATAATTAAGAAGAAGCAGATGAAGAGACACATAAGCAGATCACAAATAACCTCCTCATTAAAAAATACAATGGCTTCCTGTTGTTCCATTTTTTAAAAAAGATTTTATCTTTAGGTATTCTCTATACTCAACATAGGGCTCAAACTCACAACCCCGAAAATCAAGAGTCACATGCTCTACTGACTGAGCCAGCCAGTTTCACTTTTTTTAAAATACTTCTATATAGCATCACTTATTGATGACTATCTCATACTTTACAAAACTTTTATCTCCCCTGACTTCTATAACACTGCATAGTCATGATTATTCTCTTAATGAGGCATTACTTTCTTACTTTCACTACTTTCTTCTTGACTTCCTACTCCTGCTCTTCTACCATTTGCTCCCCACCACCCTCTATACAAGAGTTTTGGGTTTTTTTTAAGATTTTATTTATTTGAGAGAGAACAAGCGAGCGAGAGAGAGAGCACAAGCAGGGTGAGGGGCACAGGGAGAAGCAGACTCCCCACTGAGCAGGAAGCCTGATGCTGGGCTCAATCCAGGACTCCAGGATCATGACTTAAGCAGAAGACAGACGCTTAACTTACTGAGCCACCCAGGTGCCCCTATACAAGAGTTCTTAAAGCCATTCCTTGATTCTCTCTTTATACTTTCAACTAATAATTTAAACTTAGAAGTCATCTAGTTGTATTCTTTACCTAACAAGTTAACTTGCTTTCAATTTAGTTGTTCTGTGAATATAACTAGTACGGTAGTATTGATAAAATACAAGTGTGCCTCTTCCATGTTCAAATAGCTCTAGCTAGTCTGCCCACCTGTCTTAGTTTTGTCCTCTGGTACTGTCAAGAATAAGACTACCATTCCAGAAGTCCTAGTCAATTCAATAAGATACCCTGCCAGAAGTGAAACTTAAAAAAATGGTGTATTAGGAACAAAGACACAAAAAGACTAACCAGAAAATCCAAGAGAATCAACAGAAAAACAGAAACAATCAGATTTCAGTAAGTTGGTCAAGATTAATATACAAAAATCAAATGTTTTCTTATATACTGTCAATAACCAGAGAAGAAATATAATGAAAACAATTTCATTTATAATACCAACAAAAACAAAAAATATCTAGGAATAAACTTAGCAACTAGTAAATACAAAGAAAATGATAAAACACTATCAAAGGACACAGAGAAAAACTGAAATACATAGAGATAACAGTCCATGTTTCTACATGCAAAGACTCAGTATTTTAAAGATGTCAAATCAATTATCCCCCAAATTAATCCTATAAACTTGGTACAGTCCAAAAAGAGCAAAAGGATTTTTCACAGAATGTTAAAAGGTAAGTATGTGATAAAAGTATTTTAAATAAATGGGGAAAAGATCATAGATTGTTTAAGAAATGATGTTGGGATGGTTGGCAATCCACCTGGAAACAAACTAATTTA